TTATTCTGACTTGTCACAAACAGATGCTGAAATCAATGCCGAAGGTCTTGATGATGATGGACAGATGTCAGCATCAGATTATGAAAAGTTCTGTCAAAAATATAGCAGTATGAAAACTTCAAAAAAATGGCTGTTGAGTACTGGAACTGCTGTAGAAGACAAACTTTATGACTTTAGACTAAAATGCATCCGGAAGCAGTAAGTTTTATGTTTATTTGTGTTTTATTTACACTAACATGATTATATTAATATGATGACATCTCATTTTTTTTATCAATAGCCTTTCCCATTCCTTTATATTAGATCTAAACTATTTGAAATGAAGGTGTTTTTACGGAAGGTGAACTTGCTGAGATTTGGAAATTTCAAGCAAAACCACTCCCAACAATGTCCAAAGAACTTTTGACATATCTTAACAGTTTCCATCCAATAAGTTGTTATATAATTAAACTTTATGATTTGTTTGCTTCTTTAAGATTTATATATTTTTGGATAGGAAACGACTGCTGAATTTAGGCAACTGGTTTTCGACAAGAAGCTATGGATCAAAATTTCGATCGGCAGAAAGATTTTGATCGTGACTGGATATGAAACACAGTTTATAATTTGTATGCATTATTAGATTATACCTGTGCCTCTTTATGTGTCTCTCTGAACTGAACTCTTGGTTATTTATAAATTGTAGGAATATGAAGCAGACAGTCTTAAGAAGGATCACTTGGAGTTGTGATTATTATTGCACGTCTAGAGCTTTATTGATAAGGCATTTGAAAATTTGGGAGATGTAGAGGCTGTGAGGTAAATATAATTCTTTTTTTTGAAATTATAAACCAATTCTTTTCTAATGAAATTTTCTTTTCACAGAGACGAATCTTTTAGTCTCGCATCATCTGAAAGGAAGAATAAAAAGCGAACTGTTTCCGCTCTAATAAAGGTTAAAAGAAAGATATTAAGTCGAAAAGGAGATCTGATCATTTGTAAAAACTCTTTGAAATATGGATGTTCTGAAGTCAGAATAT